ATGATACGGCACTTATGGATATCTTGGACTGAATGATAAATCACTTATAGACATTTTGGACAGAATTATACATTTCTTATACACATTTAAAAACGGAATACATTATTTACAATCTATAAAGATATCCCCTTTTTTTCCCAACCTATAAATATATAATCTTTTATCTAAACCTAAAAAGACATCATATTTTCTAACACATACAAATATAATCTTATTGTAATAACTATAATGAACTCACCTTTTATCACAACATTCAAAGATTTCATCTTTTTATCACAAACTATAAAGCGATCATCTTTAGATCAAAACCTATCTATATATTTTAAACAGGAAAAGCATCACACTTCTCTTAATTAAACAATTGACCTGGTGTTAGTGGAATAATTTGACATATTTTAAACAGATAATATTACTTTATAATAATGAAAACTGAATCGACATTCAAGTCTTTGCCGTGTTATCTATAGGGTATTATAATGGATAGAAATTCAGTGGTTCATGAAGCACACGTATCCAGGTAACCAGGGCACGAAGCACACGTATCCAGGTAACCAGGGCACGAAGCACACGTATCCAGGTAACCAGGGCACGAAGCACACGTATCCAGGTAACCAGGGCACGAAGCACACGTATCCAGATAGCAAGAAAATGAAGCACAAGTTTCTAGATAACCGGACCACTGAAACAAAAGTTTTCCAACCGCTGATCGATAAGAAGGCTTAAGAAACGGAGGTAACCCTTACTAAAGAATAGGTATGAATTATTCCTTGGGTTTTTTCCCATGGATTTTCACGTCATATAAAGTTTTACGATGTCCATACCCCTACGTCATAACAAATCCTGTCACTTCATTGAACGATTTAAAATGTTTCGTTAACGTAAATGGGAAATGAATGAAACAAAATAGGGGAAAACCTGAAAAGGGAAGCAATAAAACAACGCACGTGTCGGCAAGAAGCCTTCTTCTTCAAAATATATAACAGTAAAAAATTGTTTAAAAAAATAAGCAAGTGTACACCAGTTACTTCAATGTCCCATTTTTTTGTCATCAAGAATGATTAAAATGAATTTATCGATATTGAGGTTTTGTTGTATTTCAATCTATGAAATAATTATTTTCATGTTAAACAAAAAAACTGTCACGGATGATTACCTTCATTTTTAGGGAATACAATAACAATAATTGGTGACAAGTTTGAACTGAAAGGAACACTTAAAGTATTTGGGAACTGGTCTTGTCGCTCCATGACAACTACACACAATGTGGAAATGATCGTATGGTGAATGATCGTGATGATGAATGATCGTGATGATGAATGATCGTGATTTGGAATTATCGTGATTGTGATTGATCGTTATGATGAATGCTCGTGATGGTGATTAATCGTAATGGTGAATGATTGTGACGGTGAATGATCGTGACGGTGAATGATCGTGACGGTGAATGATCGTGACGGTGAATGATCGTGACGGTGAATGATTGTGACGGTGAATGATTGTGACGGTGAATGATTGTGAAGATCAATGATGGTGATAATGAATAATCGTAATAATAAATGATGGTGATGGTGAATGATTGTGATGGTGAATGGACGCACGACTCAAGCGGAATTTTAAAAAAAAGCGAATAAAGATTTTAAATTTAAGATGTCAGTGGACATGATGACCAAAAGCTGTTGCAATGATCTTTTGCTGATGATCAGGTTCATGGTGAATGGAAACCATAAGATTCTCCATAATAACGCTTTATGCTTGCCCCATAATTTTTCTGGCTTCCCACAAGATGGCACCATTTTAAAATCACGTAAATCTGTCTCGTTCATGACGTGAATATTTTTGTGCTAATGAGAAATGTTTCTTGCTGGTGACATAAAAATCGTGCTCTTTACATCAACGGGTGGCCTGGGACATCGGGAATATGGCCGGTGGTCCACCAGGGTCCACATATATTTGACTACTTAAAAATATGTTTCTTGAGCCTTTTGGACAATTGCGTCCACCAGGAATATGTTTCTGTGTGTGAGTGTGTGTGTGTGTGTGTAAAAATATTTTTTAAAAAGTGGGGGGGGGCACTTATTCAAACATAACGAAGCGTTGTTTGAGTGCAAAGATAACCCAAACTTAGCCATCCATTGGGATTATCTCCCAGTAGAGGCCGACCGAATTTCGGCTTCGGCTTCGGTTTCGGCGCCGAAAGTGGCCGTTTTATCACTTTCGGCTTAATTTCGGTTTCGGCCGAAAGAGAAAAGTTAACTTTCGGTTTTTCTTCGGTTTCGGCCGAAATTGACTTAGACTTTCGGCCATCCGGCCGAAAGTGACTCAGGTCTTCGGTCAATTAATACTCAGCGAAAGCGATATTTAACAACAAACTAAGCGACATTTAAGAACAAATTAAGCGATCTTTGAGAACAAACTAAACGATCTTTAAAACAAACTAAGCGATCTTCAAGAACTATCTAAGCGATCTTTAATAACAAACTAAACGATCTTAAAGAACAAACTAATCGACTTTTAAGACCGAACTAAATGATCTTTAAGAACAAAACAAATGATCTTTAATATTAAACTAATTGATTTATAAGAATAAAATAAGCGATCTTTAACAGAAAACTAAATGTTCTTTAGGAACAAACTAAACGATCTTAAGGAACAAAATCAATTATCTTTAACAACAAACTAAGCGATCTTTAACCACAAACTAAGCGATCTTTATGAACAAACTAAACGATCTTTAAGAACAAATAAAGCGATCATTAACAAAAACTGGGCATCTTTAACAACAAACTAAGCGATCTTTAAGAACAAACTAAATAATCTTTAACAACAAACTAAACGATCTTTGACAACAAACTAAACGATCTTTAAGAACAAACTAAGCGATCTTTAGGAACAAATTTAGCGATCTTTAAGATTAAACTTAGCGATATTTTAGAACAAACTTAGCGATCTTTATGAACAAACTCACCGATCTTTAAGAACAAACTAACCGATCAATAACAACCAACTAAACGATCTTTAAAAACAATTTAAGCGATCTTTCAGAACAACAATTTTTAGAGACCCGGTTTAAAAAAAATAATATTTTGCATTAATTCCCCCCCCCACCCCCACCCCAATTTTTGCCAAATTTTCTCCTACAATACTAATTTAAAAAAATTGTAAAGCAATTAAAATTACTTTTATATTAAAATAGTAAAATCCAAAGTATTCATTAGATCAAGGGTCTCAAACTGAAATCATCAAGGGGGGGGGGGCGCAGGAGGTAGTGTCTGAATGAGAGTGGGCCGCATCAAGTAATCCACAAAAAAGCGATTACAACTGTTACAATCTGCTCAACCTTTATAAATAACAATAAAATCATTAAGGGTTCAAGAACAAACTAACCCATCAAAAACCACCAACTAAACGATCTTTAAAAAAAATTTAAGCGATCTTTCAGAACAACAATTTTTAGAGACCCGGTTTAAAAAAAATAATATTTTGCATTAATTCCCCCCCCCCCACCCCCACCCCAATTTTTGCCAAATTTTCTCCTACAATACTAATTAAAAAAATTGTAAAGCAATTAAAATTACTTTTATATTAAAATAGTAAAATCCAAAGTATTCATTAGATCAAGGGTCTCAAACTGAAATCATCAAGGGGGGGGGGGGCGCAGGAGGTAGTGTCTGAATGAGAGTGGGCCGCATCAAGTAATCCACAAAAAAGCGATTACAACTGTTACAATCTGCTCAACCTTTATAAATAACAATAAAATCATTAAGGGTTGTCAAGAACTAGGATTCACTTTCATCCACCTATTCACTGTTGAATACAAAAATTTATAGAAACATTTAAAAAAAAATCAGAATTAGACTAGTCGGTGAGCATCGACTGAAACCGTCGTGGAGAGTCATGTTATAGATATTAGAATGGGGGAAACGGGCCGCGCATTTACACTAAACTTTTCTGTCACGTAGCGGGCCGCAAAATATCGTCTTGCGGGTCATAAATGGCTCGCGGGCCGCGAGTTTGAGACCCTTATAATAGATGTTTATTTATTAATATTCATGATTATCTCATTTTTTATAAAAAGAATGTAAATATTTATACTTTCCCCATCATTTTCGATATATGCAGAATGTATGCGGGAACGAATTTCAAAATATCTTAACATTTCATTTTCGGTTTCGGCTTCGGCTTCGGTTTCGGCCGAAATTCATTTTTAACTTTCGGCCTTTTTTCGGTTTCGGCCGAAAGTCATTTTTAAACTTTCGGTATTTTTTCGTTTTCGGCCGAAAGTCATTTTAAACTTTCGGCCTATTTTCGGCTTCGGCCGAAATCAGAAAATCACTTTCGGTCGGTCTCTATCTCCCAGGTTGAATCTAGAGCAATAACGTGATCATTGCTTTTGTTTGCAACAAATTACTGTAGGGCTCACATTGTTATGACCGTTAAATCATAAATGGTAAGGGAATATTAAATGGTAGGGCTGAACCAGATTCCTTTTTCTTTCATCGTTCAGGGTATTTTGATAAAGTACTCCAATGTGTCCAAGTGTTGTAAAAAAAAAAACAGTTAAATTCTAATTTTCTTTCAACAGTAGGCCAAGGATTGTCCTTCATCCTACCTGTCGACCATTAAACCAAGGCCTACAGTCTGTCCTACGTCCTACCTGGTGGTCTCTAAAGAATAGTCCTACAGCCTACCTACCGGCATTAAACAATAGTTCTATAGACGGTCCTACACAATACCCGTGGCTCTTTATTGATTGATATAATAGTAACCTTCGCAAAAAGTTAACCTTCACACCTGAGTTCAACCGTCACGCATGACGCTCGCTGCTTAAAAGTTTTTTAAATATAAATTAGTACTATTACTATAAATCATGTTGAGTAGGGGAGGGCCGGTTTTTAAAAGGAAGCAGCCACACCAGACGCGAAATATATATAAGAGATGTTGGATCAGGCAAAGAAATACAATAACATGTTTTATTGACGTCATGAGTGTCACAAGTTTAATGACTGTAAACCCTAACATTTAGAAGTTTTACCGTCTCCGACTGACCAGCTGTTGAATATCTCCAAGTTCACTAAATATTTTAATCTCTGTCCACTAGACTTGCTTTCCATTTCTGTCTTGGTTCACCCGCTGATCTCACCTCAACAACTTTGTAAGTCAACCTTGGAAGATGAAAGTCATTCTTCTAACCCTCTTCGCTCTGGCTGTTGGTGAGTAAATAACTTATTTCTAAGTTTAAATAACTGGTGCTCATGTCTATAGTCAATGAATTTAATGAACAAATTATTCCTGGCATACCCCATTCATTTCTCACATTGTTCTCCCCCTAAGCCTCCGCCGCTGTCCTTGACCTCAACAAACAACGTCAAATTGGCATCTGTGTTGAGATGTGCACACCAGGGGTCGCTGACAGCGGCTGTTCAGCCGGCTATGTTTGTCTCTCTAATGGCTGTGGCCACACTTGTCATATTTTGCTACGTAAGTACTTATGGAAATCACCTTGTCAAATATATTACGACATTCCTGATGTAAATGTCTTCCTAACATGCCTCCAACAACCTTTTAAACACCACTTTGAAGACTTGGATAACATTTTAGTAGACACATTGTTGAAATTTAGTTAGCGATCAATAGAAAGAACACAAAATGTTTCAATTTATTTAGTGGCACCATTTAAAAAAAATTCTCGTTGGGCTGGTTTAACCTGTTGATTCATTAGGTGCTACTCAGATGTTGGGCTGGTTTGACCTGTTGATTCATTAGGTGCTACTCAGATGTTGGGCTGGTTTGGCCTGTTGATTCATTAGGTGCTACTCAGATGTTGGGCTGGTTTGACCTGTTGATTCATTAGGTGCTACTCAGATGTTGGGCTGGTTTGACCTGTTGATTCATTAGGTGCTACTCAGATGTTGGGCTGGTTTGACATGTTGATTCATTAGGTACAAATCAGATGTTGGGCTGGTTTAACCTGTTGATTCATTAGGTACTACTCAGATATTTTCATACATTTTATGCTATTTTTAAATTATCATCGTTAAAAATTTCAAATATGTTTAATTTACAATTTTTAAAATAGGTTATGAAATATTTTATTGAATATTTTATCCAAACACTTTCTTCATCGTTGCATCAAATTCCCCAGCTGGTAAAAGAGCCCTGTGTTTAGGGGCTGTGTGTGCCAACTTCTGCCCATTTGGACACAAGCTGAATGCTGAAGGCTGCCCGACATGCAGCTGCAACACAGGCATAGTTGTGTGATTGAATGAAAGAGAAATAAAATAAATGAAAATAAAAGTAACTTAATTTTTTTTTTTAAACGTGTTGTCACGTGATGTTATAAAATAAACGATTAATTTTACCACGCCGTTTAATGAAAGCATTTCTAACTACAAATTATCACAATTTATTGAATTGATCGTGCGTTGCTAGGTTACATACATGAAGTGATGCGTTGCTAGGTTACATACATGAAGTGATGCGTTGCTAGGTTACATACATGAAGTGATGCGTTGCTAGGTTACATACATAAAGTGATGCGTTGCTAGGTTACATACATGAAGTGATGCGTTGCTAGGTTACATACATGAAGTGATGCGTTGCTAGGTTACATACATGAAGTGATGCGTTGCTAGATTACATTCATCAAATGGAACTTTAGTACACAATTAATTGAAAGTGTATGAAGTACCAATGTTTAAACTCATAAAAACCAATAAGATGTGAATAAAAAAATGAGGTATTCATCATTGTTGTAATATTAGTACACAAGCATAATAGTGCGTCCACCGTCATGACACCATTTATATTGGCCTACCAATGTTTAAAAGCCGTCATAACACCATTATTCGACTAATATGTACAAACCCTCAGAGCACCAACAGTATACCAATGTGTACACACATAACACTCTTAGTATACCAATACCTACACACCATTTACACCATTGTTCTACCAATGTGTACTTAGCATTATTACATAGTTAACTACCGAAGAATTCCTACACATTTCCATGATCCTCCTACGGGTTAGGCACCACTGTTGGATGGCTGAGCGGTCTAAACTGAGTGCATTCCAGTTGTTGACTGAGGTTCAATCTCCAGCAAAAGCTGAAAACAAAACCAGCGACCCGAGTGGATGGTACTGTTTAACCTTGGAGGGCAACTATCCAAATCCGAGGCTGGATATGACTTTAATACGATGAGAATTCCGGCTACTTCTGCAAGCTGGAACGCATAAAGAGCACAGTGAACCACACGAAACACTGGTGGTCTTCCACTGCATTCTGTTCTACTTACAGTCGTCTTGACTAAGGCTTGCCTTTGGAAAAAATAGGCAAGTATGAGAGAGTGAGATTGACCAATTGAGCAACACTCCCTCACTTAAAACAAAAGGGCGGCTCAAGGTACATGAATCTCTGGCAGTTTTCCAGGGCGCCGTGTCCTAAGGACGCCATCAAAGATCGTCCAAAACAGTAAAATGCATTGTCTGTGGGCGTCATGGCATAAAAACATAAATCTTAGTGCAATATTGTTAGTAAGCCTTACTAGTTCGTGCACAAGGCGTGACGGCAAAAATCGCTGCCTACATAGGCAGCCACTTCCTTTGAAGGTGCATCGAGTTCTTCTCTCTTTACCAAGGGGCCCATATCTCGTGACAGCGACTCGATGGCGGCGGGGCCAGAAGAGGCCAGGGCTACGACAATGGTTCCAATATGAAGGGAAAAAATAAAGGAAATCAGACACGGATTGGGAAGGGAACTATATTATGAATGCACGCGTGTGTAGGCCATTATTTAAATTAAATACTTATTATATGTCTATTCATACAATATTGAAATTAATAATAATATTTTGAATCCTTTATATTAACCTCGCTGGCTGGCGAGCAAATTCTTCGCGCAGCTAATTGACCCACTTACCGTCAACCTGTCGAGCTGAAACTTGACACATGGACGACGACAACACATTCTGTTCAATTCTAAGCCTTACCCCCCCCACCTCCTCCCCCACTAAAACCCCCAAAATGAGTTGTTCCGGTTTTTCAAGGCGACGTAAAGTAAAAACTGCGCTCAATGGATATCGAAAGTGCGCTTAGTGCTAATATTTTTTTTTTTTTTTCTAAAATTGTTAGTGAAAAAACCCCCAAAATGAGTTGTTCCGGTTTTTCAAGGCGACTTAAAGTAAAAACTGCGCTCAATGGATATCGAAAGTGCGCTTAGTGCTAATATTTTTTTTTTTTTTTCTAAAATTGTTAGTGAACTATTTCTGCGTTGTAAAAGCGGAATGCCCATTAGAATATTTCTATAGTTCAGTGGCGTGACGAAAATGTGAGGTTGTGAGCCTTTTAAAAGGGGGGGGGGGCGGGGCACTAATTGAGATTCTTATAAAGTGCATGTTTTGTCAAATGTTCAGCCCCACCCACCCCATGTTGCTCGGAATTACATTGCAAAAAGGATTTTTACTTTATCAAAAAAATTTATTTTTAAGGGCGGTTTTATTTTACCATTACTAAATTTGATTTCTTCAATGACAGTGTTGATCAGGATGATGATGATGTTGATCAGGATGATGATGATGTTGATCAGGATGATGATGATGTTGATCAGGATGATGATGATGTTTATCAGGATGATGATGATGTTGTTCAGGATGATGATGATGTTGATCAGGATGATGATGATGATGTTGATCAGGATGATGATGATGATGTTGATCAGGATGATGATGATGTTGATCAGGATGATGATGATGTTGATCAGGATGATGATGATGTTGATCAGGATGATGATGATGTTGATCAGGATGATGATGATGTTGATCAGGATGATGGAGGGATCCACATAGGCTAGGGACCTACTGCCTTGTACGAAGTGGAGGGATCCACAAAGGCTAGGGATCCGACCAATACAAAGGCAGCCACCCTGAGAGATGCAAGGGGCATCCCCCCCCCCCAGACGGTTGTGTGTAGGGCTGACAACCCTGACACCTAAATAATCAAATGTTTCGAAAGTTAAACCACATACAAAAAAGGGACCGATAATTATGGAGTTCGACCCATGCCTAATAAAAAAAATATGATATGCGGATAGCGACTTGGAATATACTTAGTTTTTACAGAGCAGGTTCCCGGGCCCGCCTCAGTGATGAATTGCTAAGATATAGAATGGTGGGTGTGCCACTGCAGGAGATCAGATGGAAAGACTCAGATATCCTAAGTACTAAGGAGTATACAATATTCTACAGTGGAAACAACAGAAACACTTTAGAAACAGGTTTTTTAGAATCAGATATAAGCAAGGAATTTTTAACCTCCACAATAAACAAAATAAAAGATAAAAACAGTACAATAGTCAGAAATTGAGCAGGGACCCAAAAATTATTGAAGAAAATCAACAGAAGATTGAAACTCAACTAGAATTATCCAAAAGAGAATCAGCCAGCAACTTTGATATAAACCAGCAATGGGAAAAGATGAAGCAAATAGTTACAAGTGTAACACAGAAACGATTGGATTTAAACCAGCAGTGAAAAGAACAGGATGGTATGACGCAGAATGCAAATAACTTATAGAACAAAGACACAAAGCTCAGCTAATGATGCTACAAAGGGAGACAAGAAGAAAGCGGCAATTATATAATGAAGCAAGAAGGGTGGCCAGCAAAACTTGCAGAGATAGATGAGATGGCAAAAGAAAGAGATGTGAGGGGAATGCACCTGAAGATAATCAGGAAAAGAATGGCTTTAAAGCAAGATCCCATACATGTGAAAGTATGGATGGAGAATTGATCACAGAGAGCCGTAGAGTACTAGAGATTGGCACAACACTTTGAAGGCTTACTGAATGGCTCAGGTGGAGCAACCAATTAAGATTACACTTCGCCTCAAGGAGGACCGTACCCACTGGTCAATAAACCAATATTAAATGAAATAAAAGATGTATTCTCCACTATGAAAAATAACAAAGCCTCAGTAATAGACCTTATCTCTGCATAACTGATAAAGCTAGGTGGTAACGACCTGCATAGGCAAATACACGAACATATATCCAGAATCTGGCAGGAGGAAGCAATGCCAATAGAATGGGACACGGCACTCATAATCCCCATTCACAAAAAGGATCTAAGTTGATCTGCTAAAACTATAGAGGAATCTCCCTTCTTAAGGTGATGTACAAAATCCTCACAAAATTTATAGCGAGAAAATTGGAATAGTAATAGCGATCAGATCCATCGGGGACTGTCAATGAGATTTCCATCAGAATAGGTCAACCACGGATCATATTTTTACTATAAGATGTCTCCTGGAAAAATGTTACGAATATAACATCGACATACACCAACTATATGTGGATTACAAAACAGCATACGATAGCGTAAACAGGAATTACTTATACAATGCTTTACAAGAACTTGAAGTCCCTAACAAGCTTACTCGGCTCATACACATGACAATGGCAAACTCCAAAAGCAGAATCAAGGTTCAGGGAGAATACTCTAGGGAGTTCCCAGTTAATCGGGGCCTCAGACAAACGACTCACTATCATGTATCCTGTTTAACATCACGCTGGAAAAAGTATTTAGAACAATTGATAAGTATAAATGATTAATTTCTCTATTAACCCTGACGATAGTATTCAAACTATTCTAAACATAAAAAACTGCTACACTGCACACGACACAATAAAATCACTTCATACGATTGCTAGTTTCTAGCCAGCGTACTTTTATCTTTTTCTTCTGTCTGCTTTCACCTAGGAGGCGTCTCGGGGAGGTCAAGTTGACAAACTGCGTCAAGGTTCAATGACTTTCACGTTGTGGGGTTCTAGAGTTGCCTTATCACACTCAATCTACCTGTGACCTATAACAGAAATACCTGCTACTGTATGCTGGTAGCGCAGGCAGGTAGACAGACATTCTGACCAGAGGGCCAAATCAATTAATTGGTTGATGAGGCATACACTGGCTGATTGGGATAGCACCAACCGTTCGTCTTTATTGTGGGTTCTGAAAGTGGTCTTTCATATTTCACCAGCTGCTCGACTTAAACATCACATCTCACGTGTGAAGAATTTTCACCACATACTTTCATTCACAGCTCAGCGAGAGTTCACATTTTGAAAAAAAAGTAAATTTGCTTCGTTCATGAAGTGCACATTTTTTTGTGGATGAGAAAAACTTTTTTCTTAAGACATCAAGTTATTTTTCTGGCATCTAATGGCTTCAATTTATGAATTGCGTGTTTTAATTCTAAAAATAACAAACAAACAACAAGCCATCGCGTGAAACCTTTAATCATAGACTTATCTCCCCTGTTCAATCACGAATAATAACGTGATCCCATTTTTATTTTCATATTACTGTAGTAAGCAAATGTTGATTTATAAAAAAAATCCTAATTTGGTAAACATTCATTCTAAATGTCCACCTGAACCCAACATTGCACTGGAGTCTTTCACTTTCACAAAATGTCGGAGTCATTGTGTTGACGTCGGTAAGTAAGTTACACAAATTTGGAGCATATGCAATTCTAAAATGGAATGTTTTACCGTACTCTACTGGCCATCTGTTTATTCTCTACATGTCCAATCTGGCAATATTTTAATCTCTGTCCATTAGAGTGGCTTCCCATTTCTGTCTAAGTTCACCCGCTGATCTCATCTCAACAACTTTGTAAGTCAACCTTGGAAGATGAAAGTCGTTCTTCTAACCCTCTTGTCTCTTGCTGTTGGTGAGTCATCACATTATTTCTTTTTAATTTTTTACTATAGCATAGTGCTAATGCCAGGTCAAGCCTCTGATTACTCTACTACTCCAAATGTTTCTCACACTGTTCTCCTTCTTTAGCCTCCGCCGCCGTCCTTGACCTCAACAAACAACGTCAAATTGGTGACTGTGTTGATCTGTGCACACCAGGGGTCGCTGACAGCGGCTGTTCACATGGCCATATTTGTATCTCTAATGGATGCGGTCATACATGTCACATTATATTACGTAAGTTCTTTAAAATCAAGCTTTTTGTAAGCCAGGCTCAACAAAAGAGATGGGTTTGTTAGGTCTCATTTACATTACAGATATTAGATTCAGGTACTTTCAACGTTAATATTTTGCCAACATCGGTTTGTATCTAAAAAGTACTGTCAATTAATCTACAAATTCAGTAGGAGATAATTCTGCTGAATACAATGAAGTATTTTTGCACCAACTTAATTACAAATGGTCCCAAATGGCGTAATGCAAAACTGAGAATCTTAATTTAAAATGCAACACATCTAAGCCTCTAGTTCACCAGGCTGGCTTGACAGGCCGGTGTCTATGAATAACATTTTTACAAAAAAAAATTATCATAAAATTTGTTAGCAACCATTTCAACAAATATTTCATCAAATAAGTATCTTCTATAGCGTAGTAACTGTCTGGTAAAATAGTCCTAAGTTAAGGGATCTGTGTGTCGCCTTTTGCCCATTTGGATGGAGGGAGAATCATTATGAACAATCCCTCTGAAACCATCTTGAAATTTGAAATCAGCCGAATAATTAACGTATTTATCCTCTCTCCCGCTTTTAATAAGATTGTATGTCATATGCGACCATTGATGCCCAAAATGTTTTTAAAAGGCTATTTGAGCTAGAAATGTCTTTAAAAGTCATTTTTGGTGCTTAAAATACCAGGAAAATCACACTCAAGGCTTCACAATAATAAATAGCTTTGTATCGCAGCATGTCTTCCATTGTTATCTAGGTAACGCCGGGTAATTTCTTCTAGTACTTTATTAAAAGCACCAGTTAAGGAAATGCCATTCCTGCATTCTTAGATTTTAAGGTTTAATACTTTACAAGTTGAAAGAACTTGCATTTTGGTTAGAAGGCATCATACCAACATGTCCTTGGCGCTAGCAAACCACTGTTCCCCTCCCCTATTGGTAATTATTTCATGAATGTGAACACTCATATTCCTATGATCTCACAAATGTGTTAGTATCACTGATATCAATATAATTTCTCCAGCTGGCAAAAGAGCCCTGTGTTTAGGGGCCATGTGTAACGTCTGGTGTCCATTTGGAAACAAGGTCAATGCTGACGGCTGTCCAGTGTGTGGCTGTAACGAGGCTCCTGTTGACATTCTTGTGTAAACAGGTCATGTGTTGACTTTGTCAAACGAAAGTTAACATGTGTTACACGTCTCAACTCCAAAATATCCGATGTCTTTTACAATGTCATATTAAAATATCCGATGTCTTTTACAATGTCATATTAAAATATCCGATGTCTTTTACAATGTCATATTAAAATATCCGATGTCTTTTACAATGTCATATTAAAATATCCGATGTCTTTTACAATGTCATATTAAAATATCCGATGTCTTTTACAATGTCATATTAAAATATCCGATGTCTTTTACAATGTCATATTGAAATATCCGATGTCTTTTACAATGTCATATTAAACTATTGGAGATGTAAATAAACTACCCCCGAAAAAAACAACTTTTCTTCCTTTTCTTGATATTTGTAGCCAAATGTTTGACCTTCAGCACATCTAAGTAACTCATGCATGTGTGTTACAGCATCTTTGACATCCAGGAAATTTAAATAACTAATTGATGTGTGTAACAACATGTTAAACACCCAGCACATTTAAGTAGCCCATGGATACACTCTATAGGACCTGGCCAAAGAACTGTGATAGATTCCAGCCTAGAACTTAAATAAATGAAAAATTCTAAACGAGGTTTCTAGAATCATGTGGCCTGAGTATAAGTGGTTCTCAAAGTGGACGGTTTCCTCCACCAGGGGTTGTGGAATGTGCCCGGGGAGCGGCTTCTTCTTCTTCTTCTTTATTTTAAGGGCCCACGATCAATGAATTGATCATTCTGGCTCCTATGTTTCAGAGGGGTTTGCGATGTTACTGTCCATAAGTTTCAATGGGATACTTCACTGGTTGCAAGGGCGACTCAGCAGTGGTGTTATGAACTGGGGGTTGGAATACAGGAGGCAATAGACACAAATGTATCGAGTGTAGCCGCCTCAACTGTTGCTTTTGGAAGCTTGTTCCAGTCCCCTATTGTCTTCGGCAGGAATGAGGAGCTTCTGTACTTTGTTCTTGTTTTTACCAGCCGGAACTGTTTGTCGTGACTTCGTCGCAGTCTGGGGGGGAAGATGAACGAGTTTCTGTTTGATGCCGGAGCAGTGCACCAGCCCATTTGTTATCTTGTACAACATGGTGAGCCTGGATAGTCGTCGTCGTTCTTCCAATGTCGACCAATGCTCGGTAGATGTCGGAGTGCTGTGGGACTGCTAAAGGGTTGTCTCAGAAAAACTTGTATACAATTAACATTAAATAAACTTTGAAAAATATATGAAAAGACAACAGTCAACAAGTACAGCGTCTGTATGAACAGCTACTAGATAGCTATAAGTTGCTACTGGATTCGTAACTTCCCAACTTAAAGAGTTCCAGTACTATTACTACAAGTATTTTTTTAATATAATTTACTTTAAAAAAATTATTTACAGCCCAATACAGACATGTTGGGTATTATCTGAAAAAATCTAGTGTATAATTTACTAAATAGGATTTTTTTTTTATATTGTGTAAAAGTCAGTGTAGCGCGAAACTTTTGAAAAATTTCTCAAACATTCATTTATGAAGTTTAAACTGAGCACGCTCAACGCGTGCGCGTTATTTGAACACACGGTTATGGGTAAGACGGGACTTTCTCCGCAAATGGATTCTCCGGACATCTCAGCATTCTCGGGGTGACGTCATTTCCATGGGACGTCTTTATCTCGGGATGTTTCGGGTGCTTCCTGTCATTTCAAACTGTTTGTTATTATTACCATTCAGATAATATACATGTATGTTGGTAGGAAAAATACCCCCACCTTTGTTTATTGTTATTTTGAATTGCGCTGACGGACCAGACAAAATGAGTTCGGGGGCCGTATATGGCCCGCAGGCCGGAGTTCTCCACCCGTGATCTAGATTCTGAAGGGGCGAAATTACAGGATTTGTTGAAAATGAGAAGGCTTGATGAGAACAAGAAAAGAAAAGAACAAGAAAAAGAGAGGATTGAACGAGAAAAGTAGAATAAAACGATGAAAGAACTGTTAGCAGATGTCGAGAGTTAGAAATAACGAGAGAAGAATCCGTCAGTAAAAGCAATAATACAACTATCATAGAAATGTTAAAAAAAAACAAAAAAAAAAACAGACCAATAATCTCCCAATAAACTATAACCCTATGAAAGCAATAAATGCGTTTTTCATTGGGATGTATTAATCACAGTGCAGCTTGCCAAATAAATTGACAGAAACGAATGGAAAGAACTATTTTCAGCTGTGAGAGTCAGCTAGGGGAACAACAACCATCAGTACCTCTATGTAGCCAGCCATTGCAGTACCTCTATGTAGCCAGCCATTGCAGTACCTCTATGTAGCCAGCCATTGCAGGAGCTCTATGTAGCCAGCCATTGCAGTACCTCTATTTAGCCAGCCATTGCAGTACCTCTATTTAGCCAGCCATTGCAGTACCTCTATTTAGCCAGCCATTGCAGTACCTCTATTTAGCCAGCCATTGCAGTACCTCTATTTAGCCAGCCATTGCAGTACCTCTATTTAGCCAGCCATTGCAGTACCTCTATTTAGCCAGCCATTGCAGTACCTCTATTTAGCCAGCCATTGCAGTACCTCTATTTAGCCAGCCATTGCAGTACCTCTATTTAGCCAGCCATTGCAGTACCTCTATTTAGCCAGCCATTGCAGTACCTCTATTTAGCCAGCCATTGCAGTACCTCTATTTAGCCAGCCATTGCAGTACCTCTATTTAGCCAGCCATTGCAGTACCTCTATTTAGCCAGCCATTGCAGTACCTCTATTTAGCCAGCCATTGCAGTACCTCTATTTAGCCAGCCATTGCAGTACCTCTATTTAGCCAGCCATTGCAGTACCTCTATTTAGCCAGCCATTGCAGTACCTCTATTTAGCCAGCCATTGCAGTACCTCTATTTAGCCAGCCATTGCAGTACCTCTATTTAGCCAGCCATTGCAGTACCTCTATTTAGCCAGCCATTGCAGTACCTCTATTTAGCCAGCCATTGCAGTACCTCTATTTAGCCAGCCATTGCAGTACCTCTATTTAGCCAGCCATTGCAGTACCTCTATTTAGCCAGCCATTGCAGTACCTCTATTTAGCCAGCCATTGCAGTACCTCTATTTAGCCAGCCATTGCAGTACCTCTATTTAGCCAGCCATTGCAGTACCTCTATTTAGCCAGCCATTGCAGTACCTCTATTTAGCCAGCCATTGCAGTACCTCTATTTAGCCAGCCATTGCAGTACCTCTATGTAGCCAGCCATTGCAGTACCTCTATGTAGCCAGCCATTGCAGTACCTCTATGTAGCCAGCCATTGCAGTACCTCTATGTAGCCAGCCATTGCAGTACCTCTATGTAGCCAGCCGTTGGAGTACCTGGCACGTTTGGACGATATAGCGCTTCTGGGCAGAAACAGAAATGACATAGTTAGAGCATTCAGGGAACTTGTAGGTGTCTCCGTCAAAGCTGGTCTTGATGAAAATGAAACGAAGACAAAATATATGATAATAACTTAAAACACCCACGCTGATAATAACATCAATATAATCAACAAAAAATTTGAGAGAGTGGTTACATTCAAATATCTAGGGGCATTTATAAACGAGCACAATTAGATAATGTCGTTTGTGAAGAACTTACAAATAATTGACTACAAAACTATGTAAGAGCCATTGCAAAGGTTCTTCAATAAAACTGAAGACTTTCATAGGAAACGATTTCACCAAACAGATTTTAGGCAAAGCGAAAATCCAGAATCACGAACCGATAATTTGTTTGCAGACAAAAACCTATGGATGAGACTAACTCAAATTGACTATAATTGACTTTGTTGACTTTGTACCGCGCTTCGAGCCTTTGGGATGAAGCGTGTTTTTGAAATAAACTTTATTATTATTATTAGAGGTATTTGTAATTGACACGATCTTAGAATTGGCAAATGAAGGACTGCATACCTTCATTAAAAAAAGAAAAGTAAAGGACAGGTTAATGCTAACTCACTTTACAAAGATAGCCATCGAGCTGCAATTTTATAAAGCAAAAATTATGGTGAAAAAGTTTTATTTGCTTTGGGAAGCAATAAAAGTTTTCCTAGTTCTAACAGAGTCTACACTACCAACAGAAATAATCCAATATATAATATTGAATTGCTGGAGTTCTATTAAAGATGGGCACTGAAATCAAAATTGCAAAAAGTAAAATAAGTTTATTGAAAAAGTCAGAAGAAATTATTGGAATCAACAAGATCAAAGACATGATTGGAATCATCAAGATAAAAGACATGATTGGAATCAACAAGAAAGAAGAAATGATTGGAATTAACAAGGTTGAAGGCATGATTGGAATCAACAAGATAGAAGAAATGATTGAAATCAACAAGGTTGAAGGCATGATTGGAATCGCCAAATTAGAAAAAAATCCATTATCAACACGACATAAGACTGTCGCAGATGAGATGGTATTATCAGGTATTTAGGGTCACGTACAAAGTCGTATTGGTGTTGCTGTGGCTAATACAAGGTCATTCCTCTCTGATATGTGTGGTGATCTGACTTATGACTTATTAGAGGGGAGTATCTCTCGTATGAGATCTCCTCTTGGCACTCTGTCTAGGGATATGTTATTTAAGCCGAACAACCACACGGACATAACACCTATTGTAACACAGCTACTCTGACATGGCGTGGGAGCTTATTTCTTATGCTGTGGGTTATGTCAGTAGTATGGTTACTTATGTTATGTTGATATTTCAGGATGCCGACTAAGGCTTCTTCATTCTTCCACTTATAATCCGGGCACGCAAATAAGAATACTGAATCCTGGTTAAACTTACAGTACTTTATTGAACACACTTTATATTGATAATATTAATATATAATCCTTGCATGAATGTAATTTCACATATATATCTATAGTATTCCATCATTAAGAAAGACACGTCCTCACACTAAACTGTCAACTGTCTAATCACACAGCTCTCACGCTACTGACTCTACTGCTCTGCGCTCAGCTCTCTACTATATCAGTCAACTCATACTTTATTACCAGCAAAGCGTGGAAAACAACCGCTCTGACAAAAACATAATTTTACTCTCCAAAAACGTGGAGCTCACATTTGTATCTCAAAATACAATTCATTGTCCTCGTGGACAAAAACATGGTCAACACCATTCATTGTTCACTCATGCTACCTCTCTGTTTTCATGTGAAAACATTGTCCGTTACATGCCCCACCCATCTGAAAAAATTTTGTGCAACAAAATTTTTGGCATTATATGTTGAAATAATGATAATGTCTCTTAGAAAATTTCAATGCCACATCTAACAATCAAATCAGTGTAACAACATTAACATTTCATCATTATGAAATACAGGGCCTTTTACTAGTGAATAA